TATTTTATTTATATGTTATTACGAATTGAAAAATAATAATCAAATGAAATTAATACATATTATTATTTAATAAAATAATATGGTTTTTTTGCAAATAATATAATTTGTAACAACAAAAATTTAATATGTTTTTGATGTTAAAAATAATATGTTTTGTCGAATAAACAATTTATTTTTTTTAAGTTGCATTTTTATATTTTGTAACAAATTTTTATAAAAAGGTTTATTTCAATTGTAATAAAATTATTATTTTGTAAAAACACCGAAATGTAAACTTTATATTTATTCAATGAATAAAGTGTTTATGCCTTTTTATTTCTTAATGTGGTTTATTTATATTTGTTTTTCATATTCTCAAAGTTGTAGCCTTTCAAATTAAATATTGACAAATACCACCATTTCTGAAACTTGTACAGTAAACAATAACATTACTATTGGTTCGTATTCATCTTCGGATTACATTCAATTGAAAATGATTTTAAATGCGAATATTCAGATAAATGGTAATGTAACATGTTAGGGTAATGGATCAATTGTTCAATATGGTAATTCAAATCTAAACTTGACACAAAAAACTTACTTTTGCAATACATCCAAATTAGAATTAAATGAAAATTCTCAATTAAGAATATTTCAAAAAACCGTTTTTGAACATTTTTCCCAACTAATAATTAAAGACAACGCAACTTTATATATTGATAGTGGGTTAACCATTGATGATAATGTTTTTGTAAATATGAATCAAAACGCAATAATTTCAATAACACATTTATTAATTATAATTGGGAATTCGATTTTTACAATGAATGATTATTCACTGATAAATTCAACACATTTTTTATATTTATTGTGGTGTTTCTTTGACAATGAACTCATACACTAAAATTTATGGAGTTGAATATTTATATATTCATAATAAAGCATATTTAACTTTAAACAAATACTCAGAATTGAACATTGGTTCGTTTAGAGTTGAAGTTGAACAGTCATATTTAACATCGAACCACTTTTCAAAAATTAAAGTCATAAATGATTTCTATATTATAAAAGGTGGCGTTTTAACACTGAATGGAATGGCAGATTTTGCACAAATTACCACAAAATCATTACTATTTGGAAGTTGTTTTTTAAATTGTGGAATTTTTGATAGTTTCCATTATACATCAGTACTCAATATAACTGAAAAGCCTTTTATCAGTGTTGGTACCAAATTTGTGTTTGTCAACTCAACACTTATAATAAACAACAGGGATATCAGAGATCTTCCCGTTGTGTTTTATTCAGGTTCAAACCCATTAAATATAACCAACTTAACAATACAATCAGAGAATGATTTTGATGTGTTATGTTCACAGACAACAATTACTGATACAACTTTAGCAGGTACTATGATGTTATTGGGTGGTAAATTATTGAGATATGGTTACTCAAATAAAATCTTTTGTCATGTTGAGAGTGTGACAAACAAAATTATAAAGTACAGTGAACCCTACTGTCCATGTGGTGGCACAGAAGACTGGTATATCACTCCACTTTTAAATGTGACTTTATTATATGTTGAAATAAATCCAACAAAAACAAGAAAAATCACACAATTCAAAACAAGTGATGAATTTTCATCAGAAAGTGTTTCGATTGGTAACACACAAATATCTTTATATAAAAGTGATAATGTAGTTCTTGGTATTTCAGCACCAGAAACAGTTGATATTAATTTGGTTACATTGACAAAGACTGTGCTTTTCGTTTCAGAGACAAATTTAATCTTTGAAAGTGTTCAGTTTAATGTAGCAATAAACACAAAAAATGGTATAAAAACAATTGAAGTTGTTTTACGTTGCACCAATGGAATATACAACAAAACGTCTCAAAGATGTGAAGACCCAACTATTTGTGATGACATAAATTGTAAATATTGTCCTTTTAATAAAAACAGTTGTGTTTCATGCAAAAGTCAATTTGCTAATTTCAACTCAAAATGCGAACAAATAACAAATTGTCAATATTCAATATCAAATAGATGCCTCAAGTGTGCAAATGGGTTTTCGTTACAAGGTGGGTTGTGTGTAAGTGATGCGATTTGTTTACTTGTCTAAATAGATGGGAAGTGCCAGATATGCAACAAAAACAATGGGTACATTAATGACAATGGCAAGTGTGTTAAAAGTGAAACAAACAGTGAAGTGACAACTAACTACAATATTATTTCTTGTAACAAAGGTTATGTATCCAATACAACAAATTGTTTGAAATGTAATGAATTATACACAAATTCGGAAATATGTGAAAATGGAAAGGCGACAAAATGTGACAGTTTAAGTGAAATGAACACAAATGGAATATGCGAAAACAAAGAATGTGTTGTTCCAAACAACCAAAATGGGAGATGCACTACAACAATTAATAATTGTAAATATCTATTAAATGGTAAATGCAATGAATGTGAAAATGAATATTGTTTATCGGATAATACATGCAACATAACAAAGAACAAAATTGTATTGTTCAAAACAATTTTGGGTGTTTGAAATGTGATGATACTTATTATTTTGATGAGTCAACAAAACAATGTGAAAGTTGTGATCCAAGTTGTTTGACTTGTGTTGAAACTTCAACAAAATGTCTCAGCTGTCCACAAAACACATATTTGTCAAATTACAAATGCAACACAAACAATGACTTAAATTTGACGTGTGACTGGTATGCAAGTTTGG